AAGCGAGGTTCTTACCCACGAAAGCTTATGCTCCCAGTACTTCTGTTAGTCTTAAAGGTGCCACAGGACCCTCGGTTGCTTTTTACAGAGTCAGACTAACATGGCTACCCCTCTGATACTTGACAGATATCAAAATAATACAGGTACAGTCTCCCCAGCTGAAGAGGACAAAGACTCATCTAAGCCCCAAGACCGTGACCCTTCATTTTGCCACATTAACAGAGAGAATTAAACATCAAGGGAAGCAGCTCTTCCACCAAGAAATACACAGGGATCAGAGCACAAACTACACAGGCCTACAGCAGCAGTGACTGGGGTTTCCTTGCCAGACGCTCTGATGCAAGCCCCACAGGAGCATCCCCACTTATACTCACTTGAGGGAACCTTTAACTCGGGTTTGATCCTCATCCTGAAACTTATGCTGGTAACTGATCATCATGAAGGAGTGGGGGATTCCGAGCTGAAACACCAGAGAGGCATGAGTTCATGGACAAGCTGTATCAGAAGCCACAGCTGAGTACTCCCACCGATTTCCTTTCCAGTCCCTTCTGCAGGGTAGACATCACCGCAGTAGCTACCACCTGCATGTCACTGCCCTCCACCTGTACTCACAGTGTCACTCACTGAATTTTAGACTGTGCTCTGTGAAGCCTTTACTTGGGGCTGAGCACGAAGCTGAGAGGGGCTTTGGAACAAGAGAGGGACTCTCTCTTACAAAGTGATCTGCAGAATAACAGTTGGAGAAGTGCTGCCTTGAAGGGACACTGTCAGCTGGCTGAAGGTCTCATTTCATTGCTGTTCCTGGGAAATTTCCAGGCACCACTAGTTAGCAAAACTGATAACTGCCATATGATCCCAGACAAATGGGGCCATTCTGAAACACCCTTCTCCCCACCCAGCCCCGAAAGTCTTTACATTAGTGTGATCACATCAGAGCAGCAGCTTGAGTGTTCATGCCAACACTCTGGGAAAGCGCATGCATGCAGACAGGTGGGTGGATGCACTCATTGCAGTGCTTGGAGCACTTTGCAGGTACATTCAGGAATGCCAAGTAGCTCCATATGGCAGGAAGATTAGTGTCGCTTTCCACAGAAGAGGCAGAATCAAGGCTGTACTCGAGTGTCTCCTGGAAATACTGGGCTAGGCAGCAAGCACATCAGGTGATCTAAGCACATTTCTAAGCGACTGGTCATTTCTGCGAGGAACGTGCTGCTAGATTTCTGGCTCTGGTGAATTAAGTGGCTGCTGTAGGAACATTTCTAACTAGTACAGGAGCAGCAAGAAAATGTGACAGGTCTATAGCCCTGAAACTGTGCTTTGCTCTTTCTGCAAAACATTTCAGTAAATGTGCTGTTCCTGCTGAGAAAGGCATTTCTGGTTCCATGGACACCTAGCCACGGTGTGTTTTGCTGCTCTGACTGCTGAGGGGAAGGTTACGTGTTCTGCTGAGTAGAAATGACATAGACTGTCAATGTGTAATACAGGAGCAAGAGTCCAGCGGCAGAATCTGCTGCTGGAATTCAAAGCAAACATCTGCTTTTCAGTGCATTCTGCAAAAGGGAAGTTGGAAAAATTGTTTTGAGCAGAGACACAAATTTTAGGGTACACCAACCTGACAACTTCCCTTTCAGCTCTTTTGCTCCTGCCTCTCTCTCCCTCCCCCCCATCGAGGAGGAAGGAACGCCAACTTCATGGAAATCAGTGGCAACACTGCTATGTCCATAAGCCAGCTGAAGGGACTGAGTAAGGTAGCACAAACTAGGCTCCAAGAAATGAAACAGTCTCCCAGTCAAGGGAGGCTGAAGCCTGACACACTCCTCTCCATACCTCCAGCACATTAACATTATGAGCTGTGTCCTCCAGCTCACTACTACAATACTAGCCATCAGTTCTGGGCGGGGGACTGCAAAGTGAAGGGCTAATCCACAAACCCATCACACTGACTAAATTCAGACAGGTGCTAATTAGCTAAATTACTGACGGAGGTTATAATGGAAAAGGGGCAAGCTACCTTCCAATGGGCACTATAAGAGGCAGCTCAAATATTGAGAGGGAGCTTGCTCTCCATTACACACAGCCCTCTGAGTCTTACCTGCAACGCCACTGTGAAGTGGCTGGTTTTGGTATCCCGGACAATACTCGTATTCATGGCTGACTGGATGCCCCATCGCCACTGTAAATAGCCCATCGTGTTCTTATCTAGGTTCCGCGCCAGGACAGTCGTGAGGCCTGGTCGGATTCCACGGGATGAAAACTGCAGAGCACAGTTTGTGGTGATGAAGCTACAAGAAATAAGGAGAGCATCAGCAGTGGTAAGAACAGAGACTCTCTAGACAGCCTCAAACTCCCCGTCACCCAGGAGCTTTGGCATGCAGGACTCTCAAGAGACATTCGCTGCATGCTGTAGACACTCGCTATCTGTCAGCTCCAATATCAGCTGCAATCAGTTCATGTATTAGACACCGGCAGCACTGCCAGGAAACTGCCACAAATGTAACCCCCCAATTCAGTCAATCATGTGGTAACATTAGGGCCAGCCCAACAGGAGTGCAAAAACTGGCACGGAGGCTTGCCTGGCCCTTACCACGCAACAGTTCTGTAGAGGCAGCACCATCACCTGCTATGGAGGCCTCCTATTGCTGCCCCGCAGCTCCACACCACCAGTGAGAGAGGCAGCAGCACTAAGCTCTCCAGGAGCCCACGTCACAATATGGGCTCTGAGAATGGGAGGTCTGAAAACCAGAAGGACTCCAAGGGAAGGAGGCGGCACTGTCACCAATGAGAAAGAGGCTCCAATGCAAAAATGCAGTCAGCATCTAGCTTGTACTTTTCTGCACAAAAGGATGGCTCTAGTCATTTGCAAATCACTATCCGGCGAAGGGCAAACCTTGCATTACTTCTCTAATCTCCTTTCTTAATGTCAGCACCTCTCCTGCATGTGAGAGTCCCAGAAGAGCCCTGGATGCAGAGGCCAGAAGTCTGGAGAATGTCACTGAGCATTATTTCTGCACAGCATCATAAGGCTTGTGACAGAGAGATCTCCTGAGCTTCGCTCCCTCTCCTCCCCACTTTGTAGTAAGCCATTCCTGTAATTTACAGCTTAACGATATCCCACAAAGCAGCCTCTATTTCCTAACCTACCTGACCTTCAAGTTCATCCTCTGAAAAACCCAAGCCATCTAGCAGTTCTACTTTCCCCCTTCCTCCTCTTTCAGATAATTAAGAGGAGACTTAGTTATACTAGCCTTGTTCCCTTCTTGGGAGCCTGTGTCACTTGTTGTACATGCCAATACCAGCCTGTCTCCTTTACCCTCCAAAGGGAAAAAAACAAACAACCCACCCCTCGTTCTCTCAAGTATCCCAAATTGAGCTACTATCCCTTCTCCCAGGTGGGAAAGGGGAACCGAGTCACAGGCTTTGGGTTCACTTTGAAAATAAGCAAACTGCTTCCTCCAAACACTCCTGCTGGTGACAACACTGAACACAGTGGTTCAGACGTGAGACGCAGTCACAGGCATGTGTTTTGTCATATTCTCATTTATTTCTGGGTTGTTCTCTTTAAACAAAAGCAAATAAGGAATTTAATTCAAGCTTTTTAAATGACGCTCTCAGAACTGATGGCTCCCTTACAAGTCCTGCCTGAGAAGTGGCTGTTTTCTATTGAGCTGCACATTCCTACTCATCACTCAAAACAGTCATGGAAGAAGTTGCCTTTGAAAGTTGTTTCAAAAAGTGAAAAAATGTGTCTGCTTCTGGTTACAACATAGCACATCATCCCAATAAAGCTGACGCTGTGGACGCAAAACTTCACACGCCAGATGAAATAGAAGAACCGAACAGCAACCATCTCCTCAGCAATCAATCCCTAAAACTATAACTGCTGTCACAAAAGAATAATAAAAGTTGTGAAAAAGCATCTTTCACTCCCTCCATTGAAACTGGGATCAGCTCCTGTTTTCTGCCATAAGAACATAACATAAGAACATAAGAAAGGCCGTACTGGCTCAGACCAAAGGTCCATCTAGCCCAGTATCCTGTCTACCGACAGTGGCCAATGTCAGGTGCCCCAGAGGGAGTGGACCAACAGGCAATGATCAAGTGATCTCTCTCCTGCCATCCATCTCCATCCTCTGACAAACAGAGGCTAGGGACACCATTCCTTACCCATCCTTGCTAATAGCCATTAATGGACTTAATCACCATGAATTTATCCAGTTCTCTTTTAAACGCTGTTATAGTCCTAGTCTTCACAACCTCCTCAGGTAAGGAGTTCCACAAGTTGACTGTGCGCTGCGTGAAGAACTTCCTTGTATTTGTTTTAAACCTGCTGCCTATTAATTTCATTTGGTGACCCCTAGTTCTTGTATTATGGGAATAAGTAAATAACTTTTCCTTATCCACTTTCTCTACATCACTCATGATTTTATATACCTCTATCATATCCCCCCTTAGTCTCCTCTTTCCCAAGCTGAAGAGTCCTAGCCTCTTTAATCTCTCCTCATATGGGACCCGTTCCAAACCCTTAATCATTTTAGTTGCCCTTTTCTGAACCTTTTCTAGTGCCAGTATATCTTTTTTTAGATGAGGAGACCACATCTGTAAGCAGTATTCGAGATGTGGGCGTACCATCAATTTATACAAGGGCAATAATATATTCTCAGTCTTATTCTCGATCCCCTTTTTAATGATCCCTAACATCCTGTTTGCTTTTTTGACCGCCTCTGCACACTGCGCGGACATCTTCAGAGAACTATCCACGATGACTCCAAGATCTTTTCCTGACTTGTTGTAGCTAAATTAGCCCCCATCATATGGTATGTATTTCTGGGAAGGGGTTGGAATGGGGGCAGGGAAGAGGCGG